AGTTTGAAAAAGACAGATGCACCCCTATGTTTATCGCTGCACTGTTTACAATAGCCAAGATATGGAAGCAACCTAAATGTCCATGAGTAGATGAATGGATAAAGAAGATGTGGTACATATACACAATGGAATATTACGCAGCCATAAGAAAAAAACAGATCCTACCATTTGCAACAACATGGATGGAGCTAGAGGGTATTATGCTCAGTGAAATTAGCCAATCGGAGAAGGACAAGTACCAAATGATTTCACTCATACGTGGAGTATAAGAACAAAGGCAAACTGAAGGAACAAAACAGCAGCAGAAACACAGATCTAAATAATGGACTAATAGTTACCAAAGGGAAAGGGACTGGGGACGATGGGTGGGAAGGGAGGGATAAGGGCGGGGTAAAAGAAAGAGGGCATTACAATTAGCATGTATAGTGCGTAGGGGACACGGAGAGGGCTGCGCAACACAGAGAAGACAAGTAGTGATTTTACAGCATCTTACTACACATATGGACAGTGACTGTGAAGGGGTATGTGGGGGGGACTTCGTGAAGGGGGGAACCTAGTAAACATAATGTTCTTTCTGTAATTGTAGATTTATGATACCAAAATTTTAAAAAAAAGATTATTATAGATTACTATGAAAAATTATATGCCAACAAATTGTACAACCCACCTCCAAGAAAATAGAAATTCTGAGCCAACCAATTACAGTGATGAAATTGAATTGATAATCAGAAACCTCCAAACAGAAGTTCAGAACCAAATGACTTCACAGGAGAATTCTACCAAGCATTTAAAGAACAGTTAATACCTATGCTTCTCAAACTATTCCAGAAAAATTAAGAGGAAGGACAGCTTCCAAATTAATTCTGCAAGGCCGCATCACCCTAATACAAAAGCAGACAAAAATGCTATAAAAAAAGAAAATTGCAAACCAGTATCCCTGATTAATGTAGATGTAAATTTTTCTCAACAAAATATTAGCAAACCAAATTCAAAAATACATTAAAAGGATCATTTACCATTACCAAGTGAGATTTACTCCAAGGATGAAATTAGTTCAGTATCCACAAATTAATGAATGTGATAACACCACATTAATAAAATGAAGGATAAAAACCACATGATCGTCTCAATAGATGCAGAAAAAACATTTGATGAAATTCAACATCCAGTCATAAAAACTCAACAAAGTGGGTATAGAGGTCACATAATAAAGGCCACATACAACAAACCTACAGCTAACATCATATTCGATGGTGAAAAGCTGAAAGCTTTTCCTCTAAGATTAGGGACAAGACAAGGATGCCCATTCTCACCACTTTTATTTGACATAGTACTGGCAATCCCATCTATGGCAATCAGTCAAGAAAATAAGATGAAAGGCATCTAGATTGGTAAGGAAGAAGTAAAACTCTCACTATTTTCAGATGGCATGATATAATATTTAGAAAATACTAGACTCCACAAAAAAACCATTAGAATTAACATATAAATTGAGTAAAGTCACAAGATACAAATCAATATACAAGAATCTCTGCATTAAGAGAACAACTCCATTTTCAAATGTATCAAAAAGAATAGAATACCTAGGGACATGTCTAACCAAGTAGGTGAAAGACCTGTACTCTGCATACTGTCAGTAAGCGATAAAAGAAGTTGAAGACGACACAAATAAATTGAAAGATATTCCATGCTCACAGGTAGGAAGAATTAATATTGTTAAAATGGCCATACTACCAAAAATAATTTACAGATGCTTTGTAATCCTTATAGAAGTACTAATGGCTTTTTTCACAGTACAGGAAATGATCCTAAAATTTGAATGAGACCATAAAAGACCTTGAATAGCCAAAGCAATCTTGAGAAAGAATAACAAAGCTGGAGGTATCATGCTTCCTGACTTCAAACTATACTACAAAGCTACAGTAATCAAAACAGTATGGTCCTGGCACAAAAATCAATGAACAGAATAGAGAGCTTACAAATATACCCATGCTTATATGGTCAATTAATATATGACAAAGCAGGCAAAAATATACAAAGGGGAAAAGATAGTCTCTTCAATAAATGGAAAATTGGACAGCTATGTGCAAAAGAATGAAACTGGATCACTGTCTTAAACGACATGCAAAAATAAACACAGAGGATTAAAGACCTGAATGTAAGACCTGAAACCATAAAACTCCTAGAAGAAAATGCAGTAAACTCTTGCACATCGGCATCAATAATTATTTTCTGGATATGTTTCCCCAAGCAAGGAAAACAAGCAAAAATAAATAGGTGGGACTGCATCAAGCTAAAAAGCTTCTGCATGGCAAAACAAAAAGCAACTTAACTGCATGGGAGAGTATAATTGCAAATGATACATCTGAGAAGGGCTAATATCAAAAACACATAAAAAACTTATATAACTTAACACCAAAGAAAACCAAATAATCTAACGAAAGAAATGGGCAGAGGACCTGAATAGACCTTTATCCAAAAAAAGACATACAGATGGCCAACAGACACATGAAAAGTTGAAAAGTTGTCAACATCACTAATCAGGGAAATGCAAATCAGAGCCACAATGAGGTATGACCTCATACCAGTCAAAATGGCCACTATCTGAAACACAAGAAGTAGCAAGTATTGGTGAGGATGTGGAGAAAAGGGTGCCCTCCTGTACTGTACTATTGGTGGGAATGTAAATGGGTGCAGCCACTATGGAAAGCAGTATGGAGATTTCTCTAAAAGTAGAAATACCATATGACCTAGTAATTCTATTTCCTGGAATTTACCTGAAGAAAACGAAATCACTAATTCAAAAAGATACATGCACTCCTATGTTTATTGTAGCATTATTTACAATAGCCAAGATGTGTAAGCAACCAAAGTTTCCATCAATAGATAAATGGATGAAGAACATGTAGTACATATATACAATGGAATATTACTCGGCCATAAAAAAGAATTAAATCTTGCCATTTCCTACAGCATGAATGGAACTAGAGGGTATTACACTAAGTGAAATAAATCTGGCAGAAAAAGACAAAGACCATGTTATTTCACTTATTTGTGGAATCTGAAAAATAAAGAAAATAGAGACTCAAACATGAAAATAGATTGGTGGTTGCCATAGGGTAGTGTGGTGGGGAGATGGGCAAAATAGGTGATGAGGATAAAGAGGTACAAACATTAGTTATGGGGATGAAAAGTACCTCATAGAATTTAGTCAGTCCTATTGTATGTTGACAGCAACCATGCTTATGGTGAGCATTTAGTATTGTATATAATTGTCAAATCATCATATTGTACACCTGAAACCAATATAATCTTGTATATAAACTCTATTTCAATAAAAATAGAATACAAAGGGACAGTAAGGGGCAGTTTCCACAGCCTACTGACAATACATGTTTTGTGAGAGGTGCGTTGGGAAGTTCCTTCCTGGGGGTTCCCCATGGGCAGCTGCCAGACACATCTAATGCCTGTGTTAAGAGCAGTGGTGTTCTGTGCAGTGGTGTTCCATGCAACAATGGAAAATGCCTGGCATGGGGGAGAGGCCACGGCCCTGCACCTCCACAATTCTGAATGTGGGTGCCAGCCATGTGGGTGCTTTTGCTTTCTTACACAGCAAGGCACCAGTACAGAAGAATGAGCCTGCACGGAGGAATAGTCTGAAATGTTTGCTCTAATTTGCTCTCGCAGTGTTCTTATTTTTCCATGGATGAATGATGCTTCTCTTTGAATGCTACTTCAGGACATGGACTGTGGATGTGGCGGTATCAAGAGAAGAAACCATTATTTGATGTCCCCGAATCCGATGGCAGCTCTTTATCCCCAGTCACAGCTGCAGTGTACTCCTTTCTGACCACGATAATAGTTCTGCAGGTAACAGTTCTAAGCACCGTATGGTAACTGCCACGCTTTTCTGATGAGAACTTTAAGTCATCACACTCTGCTGAGAATTCCCTACAAATTCTGCATCTGAGAAAAACCACAAGATACCTGCCTACTGGGTTGCTGTGTTTTATTTCGCCACCTGATTTATGTATAGGGTCTTTTCTTGGGTACTTTTCAAGTTAAAATTCTCTTTTGCTGTTTTAAGATTCTTAGTCATTGAGGGGTTGGTTTTCAGTCATTGCTTTTGTTTTGTTTTCCATTCAATTACTTATAAAAAGACAATTTAAATTTTATTTTAGAATGATTTTAAGATTTACAAGCAAATTGCAAAAAAAAAAAACAAATAGTACAGAGTTCCCATCTGTCCCTCACCCATTTGTCCTGATGTGAATATAGTACATTCCTGTGGTGCACTGTCAAAACCCAGAAACCAGCTTTGGTATGTTGCCAAGAACTCAACTCTAGACATCATTCTGAAGAATCCAACTAGTAGACAACTAATATACTTTCTGTGCTCCGGATTCATCTCAGGATATCTGTCACATTGCATATAATGCAGCATTAGTTTTCTTGGTGGTGGAACTGTTATTACTATTACTGTTTCATCATTACTACTCCTGTTGCTGTGCTCCCCCTGAACAGCTCCCCATCACTAACTGAGAACCTCAGCCCGATAGTGCTGCTACACTGGAGAAGGGGCAGTGGGCACCACTGCCGATGTCATTAGGGACACAGAGTGAACAGAGAACAGCCGCCTTGGAGGGCTGCTCTGATGTCTTTTAGCAAGTGCACTTCATACAGTGGAAAACAGCCTTATTTAACATTCCAAAATAATGGGTTTTTTATGAATCCAAGTTCTAGGCTTGAGTTAGGACTGTAGTACAGTAGCTGTTGCATTACCATCCTTAAGTTACCAGGAGAACCCAGTTAGTCTGGATAGAATATCCTGAGCCCATAAACATAGAGTTTAGTCTTAAATTGTCAAAGTATAACTGAATCTTCTTCTTAAAGCTTTTCTTCCTTTGCTCTGCATTGTACAAGATCACAGAAATTATCCTTCAACACAAAACCAGCCTCTGAAAAGACTGTCTCTCCTGAACTGTGGGGTTATGTCTTCGGGATGGGCAGCTCCTGTTGCTGGGGCCCTGGGACAGCCTGGGGACCGAGGGCTGCTGTGGCGCCAGGTGACTTTGCTTATGAGGACTCTGACTGTACCGTGTTTGTTCTTTGTTTTTTTCTCTTTTCTCTCTTTCCTTTCCTAGCTGCTCTCAAGCACAGCTTAGTAATATGAAAACGCTTCCTTCTATCCAAGCCATGGTTACCATACTTCCAGACACGATAGTGGATTTCTGCTCTGCAGTGGCACCATAGGCTGCCCTAGTTTAAACACTTTGCCAGTATCCTAATACTTTTCCAATACTGAGTCTAAACCAACAAGTTTAAGCTCTTAAAGGTATAGTATGGCTCCTACTTACTTGCGGTCATAGTCATTGTCATTTAAACAGATTGGACCAATTCCACAGTTCCCCATTCCTCATGACTGTTCCCTCTTGTGTGCCTTGTGTCTTCTAGGTTTTGATCCCAATTTCCTTATATGTGTCCATTGAAATTGTTAAAGTATGCCAGGTGTACTTCATTAACCAGGACATAGAATTATACGACGAAGAGACAGACTCACAGCTGCAGTGCCGAGCTCTGAACATCACCGAAGACTTGGGGCAGATACAGTATATCTTCTCAGATAAAACTGGCACTTTAACTGAGAATAAGATGGTTTTCCGAAGATGCACTGTATCTGGCATAGAATATTCCCATGATGCAAATGGTGAGTCTGGGGGTGGCAGCTACCACCCTGGGCTGGACTAGAGAGCTGCACGGTCGAAGCTGCGTGCCCACACACGCACGCAGGCGCACACACATGCACACACACACACACACTTCAGGGATTCCTGAGTATTGAGGAAGCATGAAACATAGAAGGGAAGGCTGTCAGAGCAACTTGGGAGCCTGACGCCTGGGGTGTTTAAGGAAAAGGCATCTCCACATTGCTAACAGCACTTTGCTCGCTGCAGAGTCTCAGGGCCATGGGCCTCAGTGTAATCACCCCTTTTCTGCCAGACAGGGAGCAAAGGAGGGCATCCCGGAGAAGCTCACTCCTGAGGCACCTGTCTCTTTGCCACACCAAGAGGAAAAGAGATTCTGTTTATTTTGTTGCCCAGCAGTCTTCTTATTGGCTGAAAATTCTCAGAAGGGCAGTGGGCAATTCACACTGCATTCTTTCCCTTGGAATATAATGTTCTGGGAGCTGGAAAGAAATGTCACCTCCCTTTGGATTTGTTAGGCAGTTGCTCTCCCCATCCTTCCTTACACTTCACTGCCTCTGTCCTCTATGAAAGCACAGGGGAGCCATCGGCTTCATAAGCCAAGGCTGTGACCAGAGCCAGCTGCCTGCCTGAGCCAAGAGAGGGCACCATGGGAGGGGTCCCTGCTCTGCAGTAGCATTTCTGGGGCCACTGCTCCCCTAAGAGGGGTACCTGCTCTGCAGCCAGGACTCCCTTGCCATCCTGTAGCTGTGCCTGAGAACATCAGGAAATCTTGCCACAAAAACAGAAGTAAATGTAGACATCAGTCAGCATGTGAACATCATTAGGAAGCTGTTCTTTAAGGGGATTTGTTGGATTTTTGTGAGTTTTATAAAACTAAGAATTACCGTAATATCCAGTAATGTCCTCCATGTAAAACTAATCATATTTAACAGAAGGCAGAGGAACTTAACCACTTTATTTTTTTTATTTATCACTCAAGAGAAATGCTTGGTGACAGTATCCTGTCTGTCCACCTGCCTCCCACCCCCTCAACTACCCCTTCTGTAACTCCTCAACATGTGCAGAAGTGCTCCCCTCCCTGAAAGCAGAACTCAGCCTCGTTGCAAAGGAGTCAGGTCAAAGGTCAGGTCAGCAGCAGCCTTTGAAACTAGACCTCAGGCTCCATGAGTATAATCCCAACTGTGGTTACAGAAAGATTCTGACAGTTGTCAGACGCTTACCATAAACCACCTCCAGAAGACACAGGAAAGCAGTTCTGGCAGAGGCTGAAACAGCCACGCATCTCTGCTGTGTATTTTGAAGAAGTGCTGCTCAGTGATTGATGTGCACCCAGGGCCAGGAGTGTCTTAGGCGTTCCTGCCATGAGCTGAGCTTTCAGATCTTGTTAGTAAGATGAATTCAGGTGGGGGTGGCTTGGAGTGCTGAGCCCAGCTCACATATACCATGGGTGTATGTAACTGGCTGTGGGTGCGTGTAACTCTGTGGCGACAGTGTCGTGGTGACAGTGAATGCCCCCATGGGCTCCTTGCCCTTGTCTTCCTCAAGGACACTGAGGGCATTGTTGAGGCCGTGGCTGATCATAAACTGATGCACAGTCACAGACCACAGTCATTCATCAGCTGTGGCCTGAGGGATGACTCCTTTGGGCTAACATCTGGCCCCTGCTGTGGGGGGGTTGGACGGGCAGGTGTACCCTTCAGAGGGCTGACACCAAGCTCCTAACACATAAGCCTGGGAGCTGGGCAGTCCCATGTCCGGGCTTTGTTCTTCCTGGCATCAGTTTGCCACCAAAGTAAGCGTTACATCAGCCAGGAGGGGATGAGACATGTGGAGGATCTTGCTGAGCTGGAACCCAGGCATGCCAGTTACCCAGCCGTGTGACCAAGAGCAGGTGCTTTCTGTTCCTTACCTCTATCCCTAATAAATACCATCCCTAAGAAAACTCTTTCTGAGGAAAGATGATGATTATAAGGCCTGACCCACAGGACAGACCTATGCTCCGGGTGAATCAAGGTCAGAGGCCCTTTCTCTAAGGTCCTCACACAGGCCCCCTTGCGTTAGGATACCTTGTGTTAGCACTGGGCTGCCCTTGACTTATTTTTGAATGAGTAATCCGCACGAATCTTCTGCTTCTTGTGCATCCCTCATGCAAGAAGTTGAACTAACAGGGCAGAGCAAAGAAGATGGGTTCAGAGCCATCCACCTGCAGGAAACGGCAGCAAGGGTGCACTTGATGGGGCTCCCTGAGCATGCACGTGAACACAGAGCCTCAGACTGGCTCTGCAGCATGCCTAAGGGCTCAAGCTTTCATGGGCATGACTGTCTGCAGTGGAGATTTACCGGCTGGGCCTAAACCCTGGCGGTGTTCATCCACGCTGTGCAGCCCCAGGAGGACTATGAGCCTCCCCCTGGCACAGCGCTTCATCCACACAGGGTGAGTCGGACAGTAGCCACCACCCACTGGCCCTGGAAAAGGAACCCCCACAGGGAAGCACCACCAGCGCCGCCGAGAAGCACTGCTTCTGCGTGACTGCAAGGCAGACGCAGTGCGTGGCCTGGGTTCCCTCGGTGGGACCTTTGCTGGATGAGTCCTGCCCCTTGACAGCGAGGGCCCCCAGGGCTCCGAGTCAGCCCCTTCTGCCTACCCAGCCTCCTCCCGATGTGTCCCCACCATTCCTCTCCCCGCAGCCCAGCGTCTGGCCCGGTACCAGGAGGCGGACTCAGAGGAGGAGGAGGTGCTTCCTAGAGGGGGCTCCCTGCCCCAGCGCAGCAGCTCCGGGAGCCACCAGAGCGTCCGCGCCATGCCCAGGAGCCAGAGCACCAGGTCCCACCGGCGCACGGGCAGCCGGGCCGAGGCCAGGCAGGCCAGCGTGCTGTCCCAGCACACAGCGTTCAGCAGCCCCATGGTGAGCCCCCTTCGGTCCCATGTTGAGTCATCCCCATGGTTCCCTTCCTGTCATTTTCTCCTGCTCTTCAGAAGTGTGGGGCCTTTGGCTCTGCACAGTCATGGGGGATTTCCTGGGCAGCATCCACCTTCTCCCCACATTGTATCTGTTCCAAAACATCAACATGCCCCCTTTGCCATGGCTTCCAAGACTGGGGGCCTGCTGGTAAGCCACCCAGCAGGGTGACGGAGAGGAAGTGCATCCTGCAAAACAAAATGAATCAAATATCAGAGCAGGATGACAACTGTGACAAAGCAAAGCCAAATAAAAAAAAAAAAAGTAATCTGATGAGCCCAAAGCCACTGAAGCTTTTTTCTCCCTTGCCTAGTCAGCTGTCCAGATGACTGTGGACCATTCTCATCAGGCAGGGAAATTTCCAGGAGCGAGTGAGTGACAAACTCTAAAAGATCCTTCCACTCCCCAAATGAACAGAAAGGAAGAACCCATTTGCTCCCTCTGTGGCAGCCTCGTTCTCTGTATCCTTCGAAACCATACAGAAGCTGCCACTCAAATCGAGGCAGTTAGAATTGTGGTTGGTTGGTGGGTTTATATGGCACCCATGGGAGGAGGGCTTTCTGACTTGGCAGGAGGAGGGCTGTTACAGGCTCTCCTGACATCAGTTCAGCAACGTGGGTCAAGAGTTATTTGAAATGCTCAAACTTTCTGACCTAGGAATTTTGTGATTCAGTCAAAGATTTCTGTGCACAGAAATCTATCAGTGAAGACAATGTATCCAGTGATAAATGAATGTTCAAACAGATTATGGTACATGTATTCTGAAGTTGTTAGAACTTGCGTTTTCAAATCATTCTTAAAAGCCTATAAAAGTTCAGACAAAATATTTTGCTGAAAATGGAAACTGCCAGTGAATGTATCATGTTTTTTATGGGAATATACAATTGGCATATAACATTGTATAAGTTTAAGGTGGCAAATCAAATCAAATTCATACCAAAACCACAATGAGATACCAACACACACCTACTAGAACATCACCACCAAAGGACAAGAGATAACAAGTGTTGGGAGGATGTGGGGAGAAGAAAACCATTGTGTGCTGTTGGTGGGAATGTATATTGGTGCAGCCACAATGGAATCCAGTATGGAAATTCCTCAAAAAGTTAAAAACAGAACCACCATATAATCCAACAATTCCACTTTTGGGTATATATCCTAAAGAAATGTATAAAATATTTGGTTATGTATTATGTAAGTGTAGAGAAAAAAGACTGGAAGGAAATGCAGGATCATATGTTTCAAAAACTGTATCTAACAGATACAGATGTGTTTTGTTCAAATCTTTCTGAGTAAGATATATTATTTTATAACAACATACATTTTAGATGTATTATTTTATAAGAACTTGTTTATCTTATATGTAAATATAAGAATATATGCATTTTGTTTCATGTGTAAGTTGTATATTCTTATACAATTAAAATCTTACATAATTTACCATTATACAGTCATAAAGGTTATATGAAAGTGTGTTTACAGCTTAGAATAAAGTCAAAATGTATATAAATAGTGGAAGCACTGAGTCACTTGGCAGGTGCCTGGATCAGACTCACCCCTCGGCCTCTGTTTTCTTCAGGAGAAAAACATTACACCTGACCCAAAGCTGTTTGAGAAGGTGAGCGAATGCGACAGGTGCCTGGCCATCGCAAGGCACCGGGAGCACCCGCTGGCCCACCTCTCACCCGAACTGTCTGACGTTTTTGACTTCTTCATCGCGCTCACCATCTGCAACACGGTAGTAGTCACATCACCAGATCAGCCACGACAAAAGGCAAGCTCTGGAGGGTCTGGGGCCCTTGACCTCTGAGGTGTGCGCCTCACACATGCATGAATTCCACAGAGAGAACAGATATTTAATCACCCACCCTCAGCAAATGAACATGTCTCTGGATGCATCTCTGTTCCCACACATTAGCGAGAATCACCACTCAGCGTATTTGGAGCCAGCAGGAGCTCCAGTGTGCCTACCTGTATCTCCTGCCTAGATATGTAGCATATGTAAAGTCATTACAGGAATAAAGAAAAAGCACCTTTATCAAAATTGGTCCTAAGGGCCTTGCTTTACCAAGTACCTGATTTTTCTGGAGGCTATTACTGTAGTTTATAACATTGGACACATGGGAAAAATTATGAAAATTTAAGGATAACTATAATTCATATCCTAAGGAATGAATATTGCATGACCTTTGTTTAAGTGAAGTAGAAGAGACAAAGGGGCAGGATGGTCTGGTTGCCATTCCATGCATACCCCCGAAATCTGAGACATGGGAGATCTGTGCCTCAGGCCCCCTGAGCAGACCCCCGACCCCTGCTTCTCTTGCAGGTGAGGGTGAGGTTTGAGCTGAAGTCCCCCGTGAAAACCATAGAAGACTTCCTCCGGAGGTTCACGCCCAGCCGCCGGGCTGCGGGCTGCAACGGCCTCGGGAGCCTGGCCGCCAACAGGGGCCCGAACAAGTCGAGCTCCGGCTGCCTGTCCGGCCCGGCCCGCGACAGCGCTCTGCTCGGGCCCGAGGAGCGGCCGGGCCAGCCCGTGGCGCTCGCCAGCAACGGCATCAGCGAGCCGGGCAGTGGGGCCTCGCGGCGCACGGCCCGCGGGCAGGCACCGGAGCTGCGCTACGAGGCCGAGAGCCCCGACGAGGCGGCGCTCGTGTATGCAGCCCGGGCCTACAGCTGCGCGCTGGTGGACCGCCTGCCCGACCACGTGTCGGTGCAGCTGCCCCAGCTGGGCAGGCTCACCTTCGAGCTCCTGCACACGCTGGGCTTCGACTCCGTCCGCAAGAGGATGTCGGTGGTCATCCGGCACCCCCTCACCGACGAGATCAGCGTCTACACCAAGGGGGCCGACTCGGTGCTCATGGACCTCCTGCTGCCCTGCTCCCCAGGTGCCAGCCCCGTGCCGGGTGGAGCCCCAAGAGGGCAAGCCTGCCCCCAGCCCCTCCCCACTGGTAGAGGGATTGTCACGGACCCCTTCTGGAAGCCGTGCCCATGGGGGACTTGCTCTCCAGATTCCAGCTCCTCCTTAGAAGGCGGGCCCGGAGGCCTGGGCCCGAGCTCACCTTGGAGCAGGGGGCTGTGGGGCTGTGGAGGGAGGCCCAGCGTCCTGTTTTAAATCTGGACAGTGAAGGTTAAGAACTTCCGGACTAGCAGTTTGGGAGGGCTCCTCCGTGCCTTTCAGCCCTGTGGTCGCCTGGCCCAGGGCAGCTGTGAGGCCCAGGCCACGGTTTTGGGCTCGTTTGTGAAGCTGCCTCAGGCAGCAGTGGGGCCCCGGGGTGGGGACTGCAGCCTCCCACCTGCTGCCCTCCATCCCAGCTTCAGGCAGAGCGGCAGCACCGTGGTCCCTGTGTGTGTGGACTAGAGTTCCATATAACGTTTGGTTTGAGAAAGAGGAGTTTGAAAATGACTGCTATAGAGGGTGGATCTTCATTGAGCAAAAGAGCTTACACCTCTTTCCAGACACAGATGCTTCTGGGGCTTGGGGGGGAAGGGCCTGGGCCACATTAGTGACCCTGGTCACCCTTCCCTCCTCTCAAGCCCTCAGCTTTGTTTTGACCAATGTGGTTAAAGGCAGTGGCTCTGCAGGTGAACCCTTCCCTGAAGCACAGCCTTCCTCTCAACTCTCTAGACAATAAAGTACTTTATCATTATTTTAATTTCACCATCCCGCAGATAGACACATCTTTGCTCAAAGAGCAATCAGAATCTGGAATAATGTTATCACCTTCTAAGAATGTTATCACAACATAAGGAGTAAATGGTAGTCAAGAATAAGATGACTTGGAGTGT